GTTGGGATCCAAGGAGGTTAAAGATGTGGAATGAGTGAGATCTGAGGAACAGAGTTTGATGGTAGAATCCTGTCTTAGCCACATGTTTCCCCTCAAAGAAGATAAGCAAATACTCATAGTGTAGAGCAGTTGCTAGGGTTCAGATCATTGCTGTTTCCAGCACTTGTATAATGGAGAAAATGCACACAGATTATACTATAAATTCATACCAAAGCCATTGCCAATTCTGACTCATGGCAACCCCATGTTTTAGAGCAGAAGTGCTCCATAGTGTTTTCTTGGCTGTACTCTTTATGGAAGCAGATCACCAGGCCTTTCTTCCACTGCATCACTGAGTGGGTTCCCATTGCCAACTTTTAGGTTAGTTGTGGAGTGCAAACAGTTTGCGCCACCCAGTCTACCTAACAATGCTCCCCACTTTAGGAATCATAACATTTTACACAGCAGGAGGTATATTTGAAGTCCTACAGAATCTCTTGGTGCTGGGAGCTGGCAACTGTTAACCTAGTTTTCATGCAATGTCCATTTTCTCAGAAGTTTGTGCAGTTTCCTGAATACCCGGCCTTACTGTCTCCTGGTAGAGGCAAGATAATTGTTAACATTCGCTTACTGCATGTTTTGAGGGGTTGGGTTCAGAACACAGCTATTCTTTCTCATCTCCTAATGCAAATATAGGTTCCCAAGGCGGCAATGGGAGAGTCCCCCAAGTGTCACATGGAAGCTTATAGATCCTGTACACGGATGTCATACTGCTAAAATATCTTTACATGGCAACGAAACCTTAAAGCCTAAATTGAGGTAATTCCTCACCAGCAGGGGGACTTCCCGGGTAGGCAGTGCCTCCCCGCGTGCTGTCCAATCTCTGGGGCGTGTCACACTAGATTGTGGTGATATCACACTGGCTGAGATGACATTTTACAGCAGGATCCCCTACCGCCACCAAGCACCTTTAAATCATCGCGGAGGCAGCCGTGCGGAGGGGGCGGGGAACCCGGCTCCTCCATTCCATCCACGCTGGCTCCCCACGGAGGCCCACCCACTCCCACGGCCGTCAGTGTTATGTGGGCGTCCTAGTCGGCCGGCTCTTCCGCACTTCCGCCTCAGTAGGTGTCATGGCGCGGGGCGCGTGAATGGTTCCGGCGAGGCAGGGCCGGCCGGATGGGGGCGGCTGCTCGGCGCTCAGCTCGTCGGGTCTGGCGACAACGGCGGCTGCGGAGCGAGGGGCTCGGCGGTGGCCCCGGACGACAGCGGGAGGCCGAGGCGGGAGCGCGCGGTGCC